ACCGTACAAAATGTGACATGCAGTATTTATTCTGTCGTAACGGACTGCGCAAGTGAGAACTGTAGCCCGTAAAACACATAGGGATACATTGGGATGCATTTTTAGTGCAGGAGCGTACGGATCAGGTCAGCACAGAAAACGGACGTCGTGTGAACAGGCCCTAATAGCTTCTAACAAGGATTGTGATTACAATTCAATATAACTAAGGGTTGTGAACAGGGGAGTAAAAGGTACAATCCCGCCCGCTCCTTAGGGTATATTGTACGACAAAAATCCAACAACTTCATCTGATATAAACTTTGTTTCAATGCCCTTATCACCATAAGAGTGCCCCCTTTCCAGAAGAAGAATCCAGAGAGGGATCCATCACAAGGTTGAAATCCTCCCCCAATATGATAGGCCCCTCAGCAAAATCATTAATTAACCTTAGGAATTTCAACCCTGTGGGAACTTGTGCCACATTAGGCAGATAGAAATTGGCTACTGTGTACACCACTCCCGTTTAAATTCAACTTTAGGAAAACCTATCTACCATCTGGATCAGTCTCCTCCGCCAACACGCGTACTCCGCATTTCCTATGTACAGCAATAGATGTTCCTTTAGACTTAGCCTCTGGGTTTGTGCTGTGGAACCATAAAGGATCATATTTATTAGAGGAATTAGGGAAACCATTAGAACGAAAAATGAGTTTCCTGAAAAAGGATAAGATCTACCTGTTTGGTACATAACCTGGGACCTCGTAGATGGATGGTTCATTGGCACATTGATAGACCGTGGGAGTTGCATATACCAAAAAAAGAAGAAAAAACACAAAAAATTAAATATAATATTTTTATACCCTTCAAGGCCATAACTCGTAATCTAAGACACCTACAATAAATAAGACTAAAATCTGCTTAATGTAGAAATGGTGTTACAGCCAGGGGTACTAACTCCTCTGGTCAATCACCAATACTCTAAAGTTAAGCAAATTTGCCAAATAAACACCACATGGTGCACCCTATTTAAGGGTATGCGACCAACCAAAAGAGGCACCCCCCTCAGGCACTTCAGTGAAGATAGATAATGCTAGGCAGCTGTAAAAATACAAAAAAAGACAAAACTGCTATTCACCTCACGCCCCCATATATTAGACTTAAGATAAGTTCACTTAATCCTTTCCTTATTCATCTATAGAATTGATAGGAGTCAAAATATGAAAGTATAAATTATCATATAAAACTATGCATCACCATTCATTTTAACAAACGTGGAAAAGTAGAGCATCTAGCAAAATGTGACATGCGTTCCACATTTTTTCTTTGCGTTCCCTGACCGTCACTCACAGCTCCCTGCAGGAATTCCCCCCTGTCCGATCCTCCACCGATGACTGGCGAAACGGATGGGGGAGGGGGCGGGCACAGCTGGCTCTGCCTCTGTATAGGCAGAGCCAGCTGTCAATCCCGCAGCTGGGTGGATCCAGACAGTATTATCGGGATCCGTCCCGGCTGCGGCTTCTCAGTATACCGCGAGCTTTGGGTCACGGGAGGGCGCTAGTTTGTGTTCTCCTGTGACCTTTAGGAGAACTATGGGGAAAAGCCCTGACTCCATAGTTCTCCTTTTTAAGTCTTTGTGTCTCTGTGTCAGAGCAAGTATCTAACCTTTTTCATGTGAGCGTTTATTTTCTTCCAATCTACAACTGCTCACAGGCTGAGCCAATCCATGAATTGTATCGGCCTAGGCGTGTCTGCCTCACATTTGTGGGCCCTTTACTGATTTCTGTGTTTGCAACCTTCGGGTTTCTTGTACAGAGTGTACAGCACTTTCTCAGTTCATGATAAGGGTCTTTTTAGCTGCATTACTGCAGCTTTATCTCACCTGGATAGAAGCTATATACACTGAGTGGCCAGATTATTATGACCACCTGATGTTTGTAGGCAAATTAGCTATAATTTTGCGCTGAAGTTGCTAGAGGGCCAGACCATTATAAATAGGGAAGCAGGTTGTTTACCACGACAGTAGAAGTGACTTTTTTTTCCTGAAGATATGGGTAAACAACGCGATTTAACAGTCTTTGAACGTGGGATGATTGTTGGCGCTCGGAGCCATGGAGCGAGTATCCGCAAAACAGCAGAATTTGTTAAATGTTCAAGAGGGGCTCATTGTTAAAGACTGGACTGTCAGCCGAAAATCTGGGTCTGAACGTGTGAATTGTGGCCATCAGCGACTAGTCAATGTTAGGGCAGAACAGAGAGTGGCAAGACTGGTACAAGGCAACAGTGCAGTGTCAGATTCCTCGCATCACCTTTCAACATCTCGTGGAGTCACGAGGCGGCCCAACTAAGTCATCTTGTGGAGTCATCTCATGGCCCAACGAAGTACTGATGGGGTGGCCATAATAATCTGGCCACTCAGTGTATGTGTAAACATTTTAGTGGCCAAGTGAAGAGGCATACAGTGTCCCTTGCCATATGCTGACACCGCAATATAAGTCTTTTCTCTTGTCTACATCTCTTGCACAGCTTGATGCATACATTGGTAGACAAGCACCTGTAAGCATTTGTATGACTGTACTGTCTGCAAACTATCCCATTTACCTCTTTAAAAGAGAACTATGGGGTTAAGGTTTTTCCCCATAGTTCTCCTTAGGGTTACGGGAGGATACAAAATAGCGTCCTCCTGTCACCCTAAGCTCAGTATACCGTGAGCTGCTGCTCGCGGTATACTAAGACGCTGAAGCGGATCCCGACATTTGTGCCGGGATCCGCCCAGCTGCGTGACTGACAGCTGGCTCTGCCTATCTAGAGGCAGAGCCAGCTGTACCCTACCCCGTCCGTTCCGCCAGTCAGCGCTGGCAGATCGGAGGAGGGAATCCAGCCCCTCCCCTGTCACGGCAGAGAGCCGTGACAGGATCAAGAGGTGAGCGAATGCCGGTATGTGTTCGCTCACCTCCCGATCTACTGAGCCGACCTGTGACAGTCTCACTGTCACAGGTCGGCTAGAACTATGAGGTGAGTGAAAAGCACTCGCCTCATAGTTCTCCTTTAACCACTTCAAGACCAGGTGTTTAGACCCCCTTCCTGGCCAGGCCATTTTTCAGTATTCAGCGCTGCGATACTTTGACTGACGTTTATTCCGTCATGCAACGCTGTACTGAGAAGAATTTTATACCATTTTTTTGGGGACAGAAGATCCTGGCCGGCCGTTTTTTTACTACGGCCGGCCCGGAGGTAGTTAAGGAAAGACATAACTTGGCTTTGATGGTTATGAGCTTCAATATTGTGCATACCTTATATATTGGTATTATACTGTTTCAAAATAACCAATTTATTGCTTTAGTGAAAGCATCTTTGGTTCATGAGGTAGTTATGGAATGTAGTGTTGGCGTATACCTTATGTGTTGGTATCACTATACTGTCGCTGGAATAAACACTTCATTGCTTAGTAAAAGCACCATTAGCTCATGAAATGGTTAATGAATCTCAGTTGGGCATAGCTTATGTATTGGTGTTACTATGCTGTCTCTATGATTACCCATTTTCTGTTTTTAGTGAAAGCATCACTGGTACATAGGATAGTTATTAATCTCATTGGTTGTGCATACCTTGTTTTATTGGTATTTCTCTACGGTCGCCGAGATAACCAATTTATTTGCTTTAGTGAAAGAATATTGGTTCAGGAGATGGTTATGACCCGGAGTATGTGCATGCCTTATGTTGGTATTACCATACTGGGCCTGAAATAAACCAATTACTGCTTTAGTAAAACAATATACAGGAGATGGTTAGGACCCTCTATATATGCATACTTTATGTTGGTATTACTGTACTGTCTCTGAAATAAACCAATTTCTGCTTTAGTAAAAGGATATTGGTTCAGGAGATAGTTGAGACTCTCAGTATGTGCATACCTTGTGTTGGTATTACTATACTGTCTCTGAGATAAACCAAATTTTTTTTTTTTTTAAATTGGTAGCTTTATTGGCTCATGGGGTAGTTATAAATCTCAGTGTTGGGCATACCAATTGTGTTGGTATTACTATGCTGCCTCTAAGATAGCCAACTCACTGCTTTGGTTCATGAGATGGTTATGAATCTGTGTTTGCACATACCTTATGTATTGGTATTGCTATACTGCCTCCCAAATAGCCAAACGACTGCTTTAGTGAAAGCATCTTTGGTTCAGGAGGCAGTTATGGATCTCAGTATTTGTGCACACCTTACGAATTGGTATTTAATATACTGTCTGCGACATAACCAATTTACTGCTTCTGTGAAAGCACTTCTGTGAAAGCACAAGACGATTTACCATTTTTAGTGATGCATCATGGGATATAATGTAGTCAGGAATCTGTTTTGGTTTTGCTTCTGAGTTGGTTTGTGTAACTCACCATCTACAAACTAACAGATTCCATCTTGGTAAAAGTATTATTGGTTGTGATGTAGTTATAAATCTCAGTAATTGGAGAAAATCAGTTGGACTTACTGGTAACTCTGTTATCAGGAAGTTACCAGGAAGTTCCCTCCCTTGATTGGTTGGTGTGTTCTTATTAGTCATTCAGTTATGTTCCGGTTTCTCGGCACAAAAACTGACTGACTGTGGGAGGGACCACCTTTTTAAAGCCTGACTTTTGTGTTCCCTCCCTCGGGTGGAGTCATGCTCTCTAATGTGCTGTCCTGGAAAGACTCCCAGGAACAGTTACTGGTAAGTTTAACAGTTTTTTGTTTTTATTTTTTGTCATAGTCTTTACATTTGAACTGATTTATAACTGGTATTTTCCACATCTTATCTGGCATTTTTTTTAAGTCAACATGTTAACTTGCTTTGTAATCTTTGAAAAACTAACTGTAATTTGTTATCTTTATCAGAAATCACTTTATTAGTCAGGGCAAGTAAATACATTTGACCTTGCGAGTTAGTGCTTGTCAAGTAAATGCTGTTTTTCTCAAAGTATTTTATGCAATGTCGCTCAGATTTCTTCAATATTTATACACTGTATGTATGCTTTTATCTTTTATAGGTCGCATTATGTTGAAAGGAGACAACATTACATTGTTACAGAGTGTTGTGAATTAACGGAACAAAGATTCCTACCCTGGTTGTGTACTTGTGGGATTTTACATTTACTTTATGGAAAAACTAGTTATCCAGTCTAAACACGCTAGACTGCTTTTGTATCTGCTGATGTAAACTTGTTTTTGATAAAGATTTTCAAATTCTGATCTGTGTCGCATTGTTCTGTTACCTGTCAGTTGAGTGTTCATTTTATTGCATCTGGGGATTGCCTCGTTTTACAACCCCAATTTCCAAAAAGTTGGGACGCTGTGTGAAATCTACCTAAAAACAGAATGCAGTGATTTGCAAATCTCATTAACCGTTATTTCTAGGGCTGTTAATGATTAAAATGTTTGTGTTCAATTAATCAAATTTTCTTTTTAATCGATTAATTTCGATTAATTATAACGCACATACAGAAATCTTGTCTAAGCAACAATGGTAATGTGGACAGGGCCACACAAAGAAATTTTAAAAAACTTGGCGTATTTTTCATTGTGTGTCAGGCTTTGTTACCCACCCCTCATGTGTCTGTTGCAAAGTAGCCCCTTCTACCCCCCAAAGGTTACCACTCCCTCATCAGCAACATAAACAAATAGAATGTTTAAAAAATTCTCAGGAACAGCCACTGTAACTTGTACTGTAATACCACATTTCATCATTCTATTGTTCCAGGTAATTGTCACATTTGCACATTCTACAGTTATATTTTAAACTTATTTTTGCCACAAACAAACATGGCAGCTTCGCTCTCCCTGCGTACACGTTCCCAATCAATGGACTCTGAAAACTTGGAGTTGGAAAGAGCTGCTCCTCCAGGATTCCAAATGCTTTTGTTTTCCTCTCGACATGACATGAGGCACAACCTTCCCTGTTCACGTTCCCGTTACCATGGATACTAACGGAAGTAGTCCCCAGTCGGTCTGTCACCTGTACATAGACTTCCTGTTTTTGTGACCTTAACCTTGCATGTGGAACGGAGGAATTCCAGACCGTCATGTCCCTGGTTACCGATGCCTTTGTGTCGCAGATAGCAGGTAAAAGTGGTCTGCCTCCTTCCCCTCTAAGGATCATCTGTGTAGCTGGTTATAGGGAGTCCGGTCCAGTAACGAAGGGAAGGGGGAGGAGTCCGGATACGTCACGGGCATCGACGTCACCAGACTCCTCCCCCTTCCCTTCGTTAGCCGTCACGGACATCGACGTCACCGGACTCCTCTTCCCCTCGTTAGCCATTGGGGCCACTTGGAGAAGGGGGAGGAGTCCGGTAATATCCGTGACGTCACCGGAAGACCCGGAAGCCGGCGGAGAGGTGAGTACCGTTTAACCTCTTGCCGTCCGCCCGTAGTAAAAAAACGGACGGACGGACGGCACTGCAGCATCTGCGGGTTGCCGTCTCCAGACGGCAATTTTTTTCTGCTCGCGCGCGCCCCCTAGCGGGCACGCACGGGCAGAAAAGACCCGTCCAATGCGAACACCCGGTACCGGGTGTCACACATATAGGCGATCAGCGGGTCCATAGCTCGCCGATCGCCTATATGTGCTATAATTTCCGCAGCCCTAGTTATTTCCCCAGTCGTCTTCCAGGACAGCCCATGAGAGAAGAGGCTCCTTCTCCTAGACAGGAAACATGTCACCATACCGAAATATAGACCTCCTTTCAGAATTCCTTTTCAGTTATGATGGAGATATGTCTTCTTATTAGGAGCTCTGCTCTCATGGGCTGTTCTAGACTCCGGTGAGCATACCTGGCCCCCGGTGCCCCTTCTCAGGCTCAGCATGTGAGGGAGGCCCTGGCTCCCTTTCCTCTTCAGGTGCTGGCCCTTAAGTCTCCCACTTCATGGTATAGTGGTCACGCTGCTCGGTGCCTCACGTGGCCTTGTGGCTTGTTTCGGCACTTCCACCCACTTGACCGGGTAACATATGTCATTTCCGATAGGGAAAACACAACTTCTGGGCACTGGAGGCTTGCACTCTTTGAAAGAATAAAGTGGTCACTGGCACTCCATTATCAATTCCTCTGTATTGACATCAAAAAATAATTTCAGTGTGTAGCTAGCAAGCCTCATTCTGACGCAGGGGAAGAGGAGGGGCTGAGGTGGTACATCAAGTGACATGGATTCCTAGCACAGGATTCAGATGCCGACAGGATGGCCAATGGATCCCTGGCAGGCTCAGTCACAGGCTCCGGTGGATGCAGCCACTGCTAGTACCACTTCTGCTCAGGTAATGGCATTGTTTTCTTCTACTTAAAGTGGACCTTTAACCCCTTTTGACTAGAAATCCCATCAGCATTCAGCACTGCACCCAGGTATGAAATCATCTTACATTTGTTAGCTAAACAAACATTTAAAAAAATATTTTTTCCAGTTTCTGGTGCACTTTGGCACAAATGATGTAATCATGCCTAAGCATTGCTTCCTGGGAAGATTACATCAGCAGAACATTGCTGGGAAAGCTCACCTGTAATCTTGAGAGATCTCTGGGAAAGGTATTTCCTTCCCTGAGATGATGTGCAGGAAGTAAAGGGAGATATCATTACCTGCCCTTAGTTAAAATGGCCAATGTGAGAAGAATGGGGAACCAAAGAAAAATGAGGTATGCAAAAAAAAAAGCCTGGAATTTTCTAGACATATCTGTTTGTAGATTTGTCACATTTCTGAAGGTGCTTTTTGTTGGTATTTTGAAGATATGGGTAGAGTTCCTCTTTAATCCCATAGCTTCTTTAAATATTGTGTTTTCTCAAGCGCTGAATACTGAAAAATGGCCTGGATGGGAAGGGGGTTTAACACCACCGCGGATGTCAACTGGTTAAGGTGTCCATACACTTTTCAACCCTCGCAAGACTTTTGTCTTACGAGGGTTGTAAAGTAATTAAAAAAAACGTACGATCTGCCCATTTTGGACAGGCAGATCGTACTTGCGATCATCGCAAGCCCGCTCCCCTGAGGGGCGGGCTTCCGATGACTGCAATGCTGCACGGGCAGTGTGCGCTTGCGCACACCGGCCTGTTCGGCAGTTGTCGTACGATTTTCTCGGCGGGTTTTCCAGCCTGCTTGTTCGACGGAAGACGTGCAACCGCACAGTAGAAACGGTCACACGCCTTCCATACATTTTGCGATTATCGTACGATAGCGGGATTTCCTGCGATTCTCGTACGATAATCGTACAGTGTATTGGCACCTTTAGACAGGTTCTCATAGGATTGGGGCCTTTTTGTTTGTATCTTGCAGGCCAAAGCCTCAGACAAAACAAAGTGTGCCCAGGAGGAAATGTGCAGTGTGTGGTGCTAAACTTAATGCTTCCTGTTCCAAGCCTTTGTCAAGCCTGTATCAGCAGTTTGTTCAAGGATAAATCTGCTAGCTCCTAGAGGGGAGGGTGCTGTGAAGAAAAGGTATCTATTTTCTCTTCTGTCAATTGAAGGACACACTTTCCCTTCCCTTTTAGATTGTAAGCCATCACTGGCTAGGCCCTCCTTACCATCTTGTCTTGAATTGTGTTGTAATGTCTTCCTTGTATTGTAAAGCGCTGTGCAAACTATTGGCGCTGTACAGATCCTATTTAACAATAATCTCTGACAATTGAGGCATCTTTAAGTCAAAATGGGGGTAGGAAGGAAAAAGGCAAGAAAGGGTGCTGCTAGTCAGAGGCGGCTCTAGACTTTGTGAGGCCTTAGGTGAAACTCTAATGTGAGGCCCCCACCTACACCCATCATGAAAAAAGCCCCCCTTGGTGCCCTCAGGCGGCTGCCTATGCAGCCTTATGCTAGCCCCATGTCACTGGGAGGTTAGCTGATTAGGGTTGCCATCCGCCCGTTAAGAAAAAACGGACGGAGTGGAGACTCTCATCAGCGGGTTGCCGTCTCCAGACGGCATTTTTTCCTTCTCGCGCGCCCCTTAGCACGCGCACGGACAGCAAAGACCCGCTCGTTTTTACAGCCGTTAACGGCTGTTTCACATACAACCGATCAGCGGCTCTATAGTCACTGATGGCACTAAGCTGATGACCGGTAAAATTTTGTCACTGATGGCACTAAGCTGATGACCGGTAAAAGCTTTTAAAGCGTCGCCTATGGACAATTTTGGGTAATGTCGTTTTTTTGAGGTTTCGCGCGCGTGCGCAATTTTAAGGCATCAAATGTTTGGTGTCTTTTTACCTGACCCCGTCTTTTATATTTTACCAAAAAATTATGAATAAATGTTTTAGAATTTAATATAGGGGAAACTTTTTTTTTTTTAATTCTGTAAATTTTCCTTTTAATATAGTAAAAAATAAAAACCGCAGTGGTGATTAAATACCACCAAAAGAAAGCTCTATCTGTCCCCAAAAAAGGGTATAAAATTCATGTCAGTACGGCGTTGCATGACAGAATAAATGTCAGTCAAAGTACCCCAGCACTGAATACTGAAAAATGGCCTGGATGGGAAGGGGGTTTAACACCCCGGACTTCAAGTGGTTAAGGGAAACCCAAACACTCTAGCGCTGCATGGCAATATTTTTGTTGGAGAGAGAGAGAGGAGGGACAGCCAGCAGAAAGAAAAAAGAGAGCCAGAGGAGAGACGGCCAGCGGAGAGAGCCAGAGGAGAGACGGCCAGCGGAGAGAGCCAGCGGAGAGAGCCAGCGGAGAGACGGCCAGAGGAGAGACGGCCAGAGGAGAGACGGCCAGAGGAGAGACGGCCAGAGGAGAGACGGCCAGAGGAGAGACGGCCAGAGGAGAGACGGCCAGAGGAGAGACGGCCAGAGGAGAGACGGCCAGAGGAGAGACGGCCAGAGGAGAGACGGCCAGAGGAGAGACGGCCAGAGGAGAGACGGCCAGAGGAGAGACGGCCAGAGGAGAGACGGCCAGAGGAGAGACGGCCAGAGGAGAGACGGCCAGAGGAGAGACGGCCAGAGGAGAGAACAGAGGAGAGACGGCCAGGGGAGAGAGCCAGAGGAGAGACGGCCAGGGGAGAGAGCCAGAGGAGAGACGGCCAGGGGAGAGAGCCAGAGGAGAGACGGCCAGGGGAGAGAGCCAGAGGAGAGACGGCTAGCAGAGACAGCGAGGAGAGACGGCCAGGGGACACAGAGCAAAGAGAGGAGA